CAAGTCAGCAAGCCTGACCACCCGATCTCGATAGTCACCTCTTACGACAAGCATAGTCGCCTTGCTGAAGACCTGTTCTACCTCGGATCTTAATGGGTCTCAAACAGGATATTACCAAAAACTAAAAGACCTGTACGCAACAACATGAGAATGAATGGACTGTGAGTCCCACATTTAACAGAGCGGTTGTAACAGTGCTTGAATCATTAAAACATATTCAATTGCCGCCATGGTAGCATGCACATCAAGTTGTACTATGTGGGATTTCTGCACCCAGTCTGTTTGGTGAGGTGTGGTGAAATGGGGTTTAACGTCGCGTCCAAGATTATTGCACTTATATAGCGACGTGCATGTACGTGTGTGTGTTTGTTTGGCTGCTTGTACTAGTCCGGACTGATACCGATTTATAGTGCTAGCTCACTGAGATACCATGCCGCAGTTTAACATGAATATCCCACTCAGACACAGCATACTGACTCTGAGCCGACCAGTCCTTGTTTTAGCCCCTTAATGCAGAGCGCCAGACAGGGTTACAACAAGTACCATCTTTTAACGTCTTTTGGTATGACGCGATCGGGGATAGAACCCCAGACCTTCCGCTCTCCGGGCGGACGCTCTACCACTAGACCACGGAGGCGATCTCCAGTCTGTTTGGTGTTAAAGGAGATAAAACACATCCAGGATGAGAGTCCTCAGGTACAGTGCTCACTGGGGCCTCATCATTCCTCAAACCCCTGGAAAATCATCACTGACCGTCTCCAGACTTACAAATACACAATCCCGACCAGTTAACCAATTATTTCCCTATTTATCCATTTGCAGTGTGTGAGTGAATTTTGTTTCAGACCAGTCAGAAATTCAGTCGGAACCTCGCTTATCCGGACATTTTTTTCAAATATTGTCCGGATAAACGCGTTTCAGATATCTGAAACCTTTCTTAGGATCTCCTTCTTTTACCCAGCTGTCACGACATCTTGTTTCAGCTCAGCAGACTGATACGAAGTCCTGTGCAACATCGTCAAGCGTGGTTGCTGTCCGTATAAATGAGACAGACAATTGTGTATTTTGCAATGTTGATAATTGAAACAAACTATCGATTTCCAGAAACCAGATTTCAGGATATAAGAGGCATCCTATATAGTGTCTGTTATGTTTTATGTAAATATCGTCCAGGTTTCCATGTATTTGGGGTCTGGATAGTTGGGGTTCCAGAGTATTCCAGCCATTGCATGGTAACCAGTAAACAATCCCATATGGGCACGGCAGACCAGTGGTTGACAGAACGAGAACGTTCAACCCCAAGTTCACAATGTCCAGTGTGTATTACAAAAGTATACATAAAATTTATATATGTAGTAGTCGACTTTATCATCGTCGTTGGTGGAAACATGTGAGTCTGTCGCAGGCAAACCAGTGACTGGACCAATGAAGATCCGGGGTGGAATAGGTCCATGCTTGCCGTACAAGGTGACTATGTTTGTTGTAAGAGGCGACTATGCTTGTCACCAACAGAATTGGGTGGTTAGATTCTATGACTGTTGATGCATGTCATCATATCCCAATTGATGGATCGATGCTCATGATGTCAATCCCTGGATTAACTGGTCCAGACTCGATTATTTACCGAATGCCGTCATATAGCTGGAATATTGCTGAGTGTGGCGTTAAACAACAAACAAACAAACAAACAGACCAGTGGCTGAAAGCATGACGAACAATCCTCAGCACCTGACCCCCTTATCCCCCATTTGGTCAGCTGTCAGCAGCTAGTCAACAGAGTGATCTCCCTTTAGCCAAGGGACGATTATCACAACAGTACCACAACGCTAGTGCATCTCTCTGCATCTCACTGCATCTCACTGCTGCATCTCCTGCAGCATACTTAATAAGCTCCACCACACATGTCGTAAGGTAACATGTCCTGTGTCATGGCAATAAATATGCGTGATATTATTTCTCGTAACTACAGTAGTGAGCATGGTGAGTAAATATTGGTTTACACAGCTGTCTGTGGTATCACAGCTATATCTTGGCAGGCAAGAGTGAGTGAGTTAGTTTGGATTAACATTCTGGATAGTATTCAATACTTGACAGTAACTAGTGCTTCATAGTGTCAGCATGGATCCCAGCCATCAAGGTACAAAGACACAAAATAAACCAGGTAAAATTCCTGTGGTTTTCTCAGGAGGACCTCTAACCAAGTACCGTATTCGACGTAATAATCGCCCAGGGAGCTCTCAAAATTAGAAACAGGGGGCGCTTATATGAATATTATTTTGGTGGAAAAAACAGATTTGAAAGATAAATTTCGTGGTTTATGCTGACAGACTGAAATGTTTATATACAACAAATATTTTTTTTCAGAATTTAATTGCCCATGATTAAGGGTGCATATAACACACGAGTGCGGATTATGCGCGAATAAATAAGTCTTCTGTACATTGATCAATCGGAAGGGGTGCTTATTGGGATTGTTTACTAGCCAATATATGAGCAATTATCGCCGTGGGCGCTTATTAGAGCGGGGCGCTTATTACGTCGAATACGGTATTAGCCACAAAAAACGGACATTCTGACCATCCAATATCCATTATAGTTGCTGCATGAAGCATAGAGCATGCAAGACCTAGACTGTTCCAGAATAGTATTCGACGTGATAAGCGCACAGGGTGCTCTCAAAATTAGAAATAGGGGGCTCTTATTAGAACATAATTTTGGTGAGATAAAAAGCAGAGTTGAAAGTTGTAAATTTTGTGGTTTATGCTGACAGCCTGAAATGATATAAAAGAAGAATCTGTGCACAAATATATAAATCTTGTGTACATTGATCAATTGGAAAGGACTCTAGTTGGGTTCACTAGCCAATATATTAGCAAATATCGCGGGGCACTTATTACGTTGAATACGGTACAATACCTTATCCATAAATTGATAAATTGTTGAGCACAGACTGAGAGACTGAGAGCCCCGAAACGTAAGACGTTTTCTAATGATATTGATAACAGTATTTCAAACAACTGGTAGAGGTATACCAAACATTTTCTGATTATTAAGTCAATAAACCCCAAATTAACGTGTCTTTTATGGATTACATAGCAAAAAGAACTGTAATATAAAATGTCCACACTAAATTTTTAATCCATTTACACTTCATTGAAAACATTGTTCAATCTCCGAAGCTAAATACTTAATGTGATTTAAATTGCAACTTTTATTATATAGCACTGAATGTGTCATTAACAAAAACATCCTGATATTTATCTAACCATGCAACTTTATAAGGAGACAAAAGAAACATATTTCCAAAAAATACTGTTTTTCTTTGAAAGTCAAAATGCCATTGCTATTTGATATATGTTGGACCAATAACACACAGACAGGGTAACTGCCAAACAATGTTGAATGTTCCCTCATGGCACATGCCATACATACCTAGTCACCACTGTTACAACGTTTTAACAATACCACTAAGCAGTGGATAAGCTTTCAGTACAACAACAACACCACATGGGATAAGCTTTCAAGGGAACGGTACAACAAATGATAATGCCACAAATGATAAGCTTTCAGGGGAACAGTACAACAAATATTAATACCACATGGGATAAGCTTTCAGGGGAACGGTACAACAAATGATAATGCCACAAATGATAAGCTTTCAGGGGAACAGTACAACAAATATTAATACCACATAGGATAAGCTTTCAGGGGAACGGTACAACAAATGATAATGCCACAAATGATAAGCTTTCAGGGGAACAGTACAACAAATATTAATACCACATGGGATAAGCTTTCAGGGGAACAGCATAACAAAAATTAATACCACAAAGGATAAGCTTTCAGGGGAACAGTACAATAAATAATGCTATCACATGGGATAAGCTTTCAGGGGAACAGTATATACAGCAGAAGCAACACATGCAAGCAAAAAGCAGAAGCAATGACATAAGCCCAGTGAAATGTGTGACAGAAGATGTAAAAAGGAAAAATTCTAGAATAAGCAGTAGTGAAAAAAAAAAAAATAGATTTCATTGCAACCATGCACATCATGACACTGTTCACAAGGATCTATGTAACCATGGTAACCATGGAACATACACTACCCATGACCTTTATCAGTCACTGTTGTTATGAATATCATTAATTTTCTCTAAAACAATACGAAAGAAATAAAATGTCATTACAAAATAATAAACATTTTCTAAATTTTCTCAATCTTTTCGTTTACGACAGAAGGTACGTGTACATAAACCAGTTATATTGTATTGGAAATTCAAGAAGTCCAATATTTGGTGTGTTGGGTACTGACTGTTTGTCCAAATGGATATTTGAAACAAATGTAAAACGTGCATATCTGCAATGATTGCTAATTAATCCATTAACAGAAGGCCATGAAACAAACAACTTCAAATGTCCAACTTAGGCATGACATGTGACTTGTGTGCAATTATTCACAGAAATTCAATAAACAGTTTACATGAAAGGAATAACTATCACAAAATGCATTAACACTATTGTAAAACACCTTCACATGAATATATTAAAATCTAAAACAACATATTATAAGTCAGATAAAACAGTATTACCACATTCACAAATGAGTAGAAGATCCTTACAAAAGATAAAAGCTTTTCGCAAAAATGACGCTAGAAAAACATGAAATAATTACCCATATACAAATATTGAATATTAATTATACGATTTTTGAAATGTCACATTTCATTGAAATGAAGCTTATGGTGCAATCTTTCAACTGCACAAGCATGACAGACGCCTTACTGAATGTATATTACGGCCAAAATGTCAAAACACACAAAACTAGACACACTAATCTTGGCTGATTATCAGGAAAATACTATTTCAGTTTAAATTTCAAAAGAAGAAATAACACAAAAGGTGTTGTTTACTGATGTGAATTTGTCATGTTTTAAAGTATGAATATAGGGTATATATCATGGAACGGAATGGCAACATTGGCAGATGAAAACATCCCCTACCTCCTGATTTTCTCCACCAGATCTCCAAATGGCTTTTCCCAACAATACATCTTGATGACGCGCATCCCCGAGATAATCTCGTTCATCACGCGCACTCGCTCATCCGTGTGTTTAGCCGTCTTCTGCCTGTAACAGAAAGACAATTTAACTGTTCAGGACTGTTAATCTTTCTTGTGCACCTATTGAAGGTCAACAGTTAAGAAATGCATACAAAAACTTCTTAAGCAATGCATACACTTCAATGGCTTAAACTGTGATATAAAAATATGAACATGAAATTCTGTGATCTTATTCATAAGATATGTTTTGTTTTTAGACATTTGATCACTAAGGACATGCCAGAAACATTAATGATTGTGAGTTGAAAATTTGATTCATCTTCATTGTACCATACCTGTTGGGGTATCGGTATGTGAGTTATCCCGGGGCTACTCACCTGAGTATAGAGAAGAGTTTATCATCCAACCCTGTAGGGGTATCAGTATGTATGTTACCCCCAGTCTACTCACCTGAGTATAGAGAAGAGTTTCCCCATCCAACCCTGTAGGGGTATCAGTATGTGAGTTATCCCGGGTCTACTCACCTGAGTATAGAGAAGAGTTTCCCCATCCAACCCTGTAGGAGTATCAGTATGTGAGTTATCCCGGGTCTACTCACCTGAGTATAGAGAAGAGTTTCCCCGTCCAACCCTGTAGGGGTATCAGTATGTGAGTTATCCCGGGTCTACTCACCTGAGTATAGAGAAGAGTTTCTCAATCCAACCCTGTAGGGGTATCAGTATGTGAGTTACCCCCAGTCTACTCACCTGAGTATAGAGAAGAGTTTCCCCATCCAACCCTGTAGGGGTATCAGTATGTGAGTTATCCCGGGTCTACTCACCTGAGTATAGAGAATAGTTTCTCCATCCAACCCTGTAGGGGTATCAGTATGTGTGTTACCCCCGGTCTACTCACCTGAGTATAGAGAAGAGTTTCCCCATCCAACCCTGTAGGGGTATCAGTATGTGAGTTATCCCGGGTCTACTCACCTGAGTATAGAGAAGAGTTTCTCAATCCAACCCTGTAGGGGTATCAGTATGTGAGTTACCCCCAGTCTACTCACCTGAGTATAGAGAAGAGTTTCCCCATCCAACCCTGTAGGGGTATCAGTATGTGAGTTACCCCCAGTCTACTCACCTGAGTATAGAGAAGAGTTTCCCCATCCAACCCTGTAGGGGTATCAGTATGTATGTTACCCCCGGTCTACTCACCTGAGTATAGAGAAGAGTTTCCCCATCCAACCCTGTAGGGGTATCAGCATGTGTGTTACCCCCGGTCTACTCACCTGAGTATAGAGAAGAGTTTCCCCATCCAACCCTGTAGGGGTATCAGTATGTATGCTACCCCCGGTCTACTCACCTGAGTATAGAGAAGAGTTTCCCCATCCAACCCTGTAGGGGTATCAGCATGTGTGTCACCCCCGGTCTACTCACCTGAGTATAGAGAAGAGTTTCCCCATCCAACCCTGTAGGGGTATCAGTATGTATGTTACCCCCGGTCTACTCACCTGAGTATAGAGAAGAGTTTCCCCATCCAACCCTGTAGGGGTATCAGCATGTGTGTCACCCCCGGTCTACTCACCTGAGTATAGAGAAGAGTTTCCCCATCCAACCCTGTAGGGGTATCAGTATGTGAGTTATCCCGGGTCTACTCACCTGAGTATAGAGAAGAGTTTCCCCGTCCAACCCTGTAGGGGTATCAGTATGTGTGTCACCCCGGGTCTACTCACCTGAGTATAGAGAAGAGTTTCCCCATCCAACCCTGTAGGGGTATCAGTATGTGTGTCACCCCGGGTCTACTCACCTGAGTATAGAGAAGAGTTTCCCCATCCAACCCTGTAGGGGTATCAGCATGTGTGTTACCCCCGGTCTACTCACCTGAGTATAGAGAAGAGTTTCCCCATCCAACCCTGTAGGGGTATCAGTATGTGAGTTATCCCGGGTCTACTCACCTGAGTATAGAGAAGAGTTTCCCCATCCAACCCTGTAGGAGTATCAGCATGTGTGTTACCCCCAGTCTACTCACCTGAGTATAGAGAAGAGTTTCCCCATCCAACCCTGTAGGGGTATCAGTATGTGAGTTATCCCGGGTCTACTCACCTGAGTATAGAGAAGAGTTTCCCCATCCAACCCTGTAGGGGTATCAGCATGTGTGTTATCCCGGGTCTACTCACCTGAGTATAGAGAAGAGTTTCCCCATCCAACCCTGTAGGGGTATCAGTATGTGTGTCACCCCCGGTCTACTCACCTGAGTATAGAGAAGAGTTTCCCCATCCAACCCTGTAGGGGTATCAGCATGTATGTTACCCCCGGTCTACTCACCTGAGTATAGAGAAGAGTTTCCCCATCCAACCCTGTAGGGGTATCAGTATGTATGTTACCCCGGGTCTACTCACCTGAGTATAGAGAAGAGTTTCCCCATCCAACCCTGTAGGGGTATCAGTATGTGTGTCACCCCGGGTCTACTCACCTGAGTATAGAGAAGAGTTTCCCCATCCAACCCTGTAGGGGTATCAGCATGTGTGTTATCCCGGGTCTACTCACCTGAGTATAGAGAAGAGTTTCTCAATCCAACCCTGTAGGGGTATCAGTATGTGTGTCACCCCCGGTCTACTCACCTGAGTATAGAGAAGAGTTTCCCCATCCAACCCTGTAGGGGTATCAGTATGTGAGTTATCCCGGGTCTACTCACCTGAGTATAGAGAAGAGTTTCCCCATCCAACCCTGTAGGGGTATCAGTATGTATGTTACCCCGGGTCTACTCACCTGAGTATAGAGAAGAGTTTCCCCATCCAACCCTGTAGGGGTATCAGTATGTGTGTCACCCCGGGTCTACTCACCTGAGTATAGAGAAGAGTTTCCCCATCCAACCCTGTAGGGGTATCAGCATGTGTGTTACCCCCGGTCTACTCACCTGAGTATAGAGAAGAGTTTCCCCATCCAACCCTGTAGGGGTATCAGCATGTGTGTTATCCCGGGTCTACTCACCTGAGTATAGAGAAGAGTTTCCCCATCCAACCCTGTAGGGGTATCAGTATGTGTGTCACCCCCGGTCTACTCACCTGAGTATAGAGAAGAGTTTCCCCATCCAACCCTGTAAGGGTATCAGTATGTGTGTTACCCCCAGTCTACTCACCTGAGTATAGAGAAGAGTTTCCCCATCCAACCCTGTAAGGGTATTAGGAGTATAAGCACCGCGAAGCCTGCCAGCACTGCAGGCCCCAACTCATACCACAGAATCACCAGGACGGCTATGGCTTGCACTGGTCCAATCCATAAAAAGTGAAGAAAGATCACAGCCTGGAAATAAAGTTATGACACACTGCAGATCAGAGACATCACAGTGTCACTCTAACAATAACTCCTCTTATAAACCTACTGGCTGTTTGTGTAACTCGATGTGGAGTTTTTGAAATTGTGGTAACACCTCGTAGGAGGTATTACAACGATTGTAACACCTCGCCTTCAACCATTGTAAACCATTGATAGAACAAAAACTACGAACAGCCTACGAGACACACGTGCAGATTTTCGTGCCATTGCGAGACGCACGTGCAGATTTCGCACCGTTGCGAAACCCACATGCTGAGATCACCGGTTTCATTGAGATCACGACTGCAGGCGATATTTCATCTCCGATACAGGTTATACATTTGAGAGTTTTTATTACAGTTATTTAATTAAAAATGTTGTCTATGTGATGAGTCGGTTTATAAGTTGGACAAACCATGACTCCTTGAGATTACTAGAGATTGTAAACCCTTACATGAGGGAACCTCCCTCTGTCCAATTCAGCAAGCCTGACTACCCAATCCCGTTAGTAACCTCTTACGACAATTAGTCGCCTTTTAAGGCAAGCATGTGTTGCTGAAGACCTATTCTACCCCGTCTCTTCAGGGGTCATATCATATGGGAGTAACAGACTTGATATTAATAAGACCTGAAGACTGATGTTTTGTCTTTGACAGAAATAAAGTTTAATTTGGAAACATTTGAATCTGCTGATGGTATGAGGCCAAAATAAATTAGTTGCTAGATTATCATCCCCACCCGACTCAGGACAAACTCATTTTATTTGCCCAAGTGAAATATATAGAGCACTGTAACGACATCAACTGTCAAACGGCCATTCATGTTTATGACAACCCGTAGACTGGCCTACAACCGACTCTCGGGTGCCTGCCTATCGCCCGCTTGTTGTCCGCTGTCAAGATGATGCTCGTTATTTTGAAAATACAGGGTGTGCAAACCATGAACGACTGGTATGCTGTGCTTTGCCAGAGTCTATGAGACCTATAGAAATCTTCAACAAGTTTGCTTGTGGGGAACTTGACAAGTGAACGTCAATTGAGGATAAATTCATAAACACACGAGTAACAAGTTTGGCCGGGAAAACAAAAATAGGTTTGACACAGAAACATCCAACTGCGCCTGTTGAAATCAGTTTTTATTTATTATCTTTGTTATTTCAGTCATCTATTGTTCACATCAAGGTGTCCAGTCTTCAACTTCACGACTTTATTTGAAAATAAACATAAAAAATAAAAAGCCTCCCTCCTACTTTCGGAACAAAAGTGGATGATAATCTAGCAATTAATATATTTTACACTGTCAACATGCATCAGGATAAGAGAAATCCTCCTATATGTTGGAAGAATTACTTAACAGAGATATCATGAGAATCTGTTGATTCTACATTCCTACTCAACAGATTCTGGTGAATTCTCTGACTTAAACCAAGCTATGGCTGATGTAGAATTTCTCCATAATTCTGCATCATGACCTATAGTAGTGTCAGTTTTACTTGTTTAAAATGCAAGATCAAAATAGCCACTGAATTCTTGGCTCAAGCTCAACTTCAACAACAATATGATGACGTCATCGTTGATGGTTTAAATGTGAAAAGCCAACAATGAAAACTTATTTTCCTTTGGTTATTCAGTAAAAACTTGGCTTTATTTTTAAGCCTGCTGGCCAATACAAACAGCAGTTGTAAGTGTAGGCAGACACAGGGAGGGAATGCCAGCTGAATGTCTGTTCACTAGTGTTGGTTGGTTGGTTGGTTTGTTGTTTAACCTCGCACTCAGCAATATTCCAGCTGTATGACGGCGGTCTGTAAATAACCGAGTTTGGACCAGACAATCCAGTGATTGATATCATGAGCATCAATCCAGGCAATTGGGATAACAATGACATGTATCAACCAAGTCAGCAAGTCTGACCACCCGATCCTGTTAGTCGCCCTTTACGACAAGCATAGTCACCTTTTACGGCAAGCATCAGGTCTACCGTTACATTGGATAACAATATTTTGTGATGCACGAGGCCACATTGGTATATTATCGAGATATGTATTGCGGAATACTAAACCTAAAATTCCGAAGGGCACTCACAACAGACTGCAATATTTGGTACATCAAATTTGTCATCTGTTTTTAGACCAAAGTGCTTCCACATATCGTTTTTGTCTATCACCTGACCACACTGCCATCATGGGGCCCTGACGGAAGTGTACGAATGTGCATGCACATGTGTGACCAAAGAATTAACCTCAATATTTACGAACTTGCATTTTGGAATTACAGAAACTTTTCAAAATTATTTGGCAAGTGTATAACATTAAAAACATAATAAAACTCAACATTAAAAATCACCTGATATACCGCTCATTAAAACTGATATTATGATACATATCATGGAAAGAACGGACCTCAATTTACCGATATATCGGTAACACCACGCCCCTTACTTCCCACCATGCCGTCCCACTGCCCTCTACTTGCATGCAATATGAACTACACAATGAGAACAAACTGACTGACCTGATCAAACCTGTTGACGTCATTGGACATGAGATTGACTATCTGCCCCACGGTGGTCTGGCCTAAAGCTTTGTTACTCAGACGGAGGGACTGGAAAAGAGCAGACACACAACTGAAATATACTGAAGACAATATGAGTCATGGGTTTGTCGTGATATCATTGTCTCAAGGTGGTGATTGGGTGTATGTTGTTGGAAAACTTCAACCCCCAAAATCGGACAAATATCTGTGGACATTTTGTTTTAATACCGTATTCAACGTAATAAGCTCCCACGGCGATATTTTGCTAATATATATTGGCTTGTCAACAATCCCAATTAGTACCCCTTCTGATTGATCAGTGTACACAAGACTTGCATAATACGCACTCGTGTGTTATCATGGTTATAGGCTGTCAGCATAAACCACAATATTCATGATATTAACAATCTTTCAACTCTGTTTTTTTCTTACCAAAAGGTAGACCTACACCAGCTGCAATTGTTCCTCCCAGTAGTGAGAGAAAATTACAGGGGAGATAACTATGTGAGAGAAAAGCTGTGTTTTCCGCCATTTTATCATTCAATTTTTAAAAGGAAACATAATCATGATAATTTGTGTGTAAATTTTAAATTAAACAATTCAAATTATAACGAAACTTGTTATATATTTCATACACCAGAACACAGAAAATAAATTGCAAATACATATCATTTTAAAAGCGTATTGTGGCATACCAGTAATACTGTGCAGTCTTACAGTTAAGCAGGTTCATTTGTCTCACTCTAAAGGCCATGATTTTTCAACAGCCTTCTTGATAAACCCTAGCACTCAACTATCGATACCAAACTCTTCTGACAAAAGACAATTTGAGCTAAAACATTTAAATGGATGAGAAGGCCATTATTTTTCTTGTATCAAAAGAAGTTTGAGAAATACTTGTCCCTACTGAAACCAGACAGATGGACAGAAAGACAGAGCCCATGCTGACCTCAGGCCCATAACATACCATCGGGGGTCACATGAAACATGGGAACAGCCTTCTTGATAAATCATAGCACTCAACTATCAATACCAAACTCTTCTAACAAAAGAATTTGAGCTAAAACATCTAAAAGAATAAAAAGACTGACGTAAAAGGCCATGATATTTCTAAAGTTTGTTTTACAGTAGAAAATAACATTCCATGTGGAAACCACAAGACTGCCATGCCACTGATACAATCGTGACCAACAGACACTTACTTTCTTGTACATCAAGCTCTGTACAGTAATGACTGTACTGTACTTGATCAGAGGACATTCATAGCACTGCAGTAGAAAATAACATTCCATGTGGAAACCACAAGACTGCCATGCCACAGCTACAATCGTGACCAGCAGACTAGGGCTGGGACGGGTAACTCGGGTACCCGGGTCAGGTGGGTACTGAGTAGGACCTGGGTACCCACAGGACTACCCGGACCCGTGGTTAGTCACGTGATATGTTGTTTAATGACAAAAATTATCTAGAACTCTATGGTTACACTACAAGTCACTAATGTTTGCATTTCTTTCTGACTATGCACCCATTCCTTCTGATTTTTTCATATGGTTGAATAAAGATATAACTTAATTCAACTTCGGTGTATGAATGACCAGATTGTTTGATACATGTATCTCAATACCTTTTGCCAGGGCTATTCTAAAAATGTCCCCAATCGGACATTTAGAGACATCTCCTGAGACCTACAGTGGGTACCCGGGTAGGGTTGGGTAATAGGGGGGTGGGTAACCGGGTAGTAAATTTGGACTCGTCCCAGCCCTAGTTTTTAGGTTTATCAACACCATACCCGTGCTCATAGAGGTTCAGTAAGTGGTAAGCATCACCTTTACTCACTAGTCTACAACAGACACTTACTTTCTTGTACATCAAGGAGCAGCACGCCACCCTCATCTGCATGCCGATCCGTGTGACGCTGAAGAAGTAGGGGTGGTGAGCGACAGCAAGGACGATGGCACAGATACTGACAGCCATGGCGTACAGGTAGGCCTCTTCCTTGCTGATAGTGGACTCGGGGGTGAAGAAGCGGATGAGTCCCCCCAGTAGTAATGGCTGCACCACTTTTGTTCCCTCCTGAAGACACAAGAGAAAACATGTAGAATACCGGACCTGATTGTGGTTCTAGGTTCGTTCGCACCATACCCATACTCGTGAATGTCACCACATGGGGAACACATCTAAGACCTGCATCACTTCGGGTCTTCCTCCTTAATAAAGCCTTACATGCCTCAGATACTGTTCAGTGTTCCTGATGGCTTTTCAAACTGCCATCCCCAGTGAACTGACAACTATAAAAATAACCAGTCCCACCGAAGTTTTGTCAGTCCCAACTTTGAACAAATATAAATTGTATGAAAATTACCTGGTTTTAATTCTTTCAACATCAATTTCAATGCAGTGTACTTTCATGGCTGACAAATTCAGTGACATCATTTCTGAAGTAACTTATTTAGATCTACACGTCATTCACACAGTCCAATCACAATTTTCTCTTTTTTTTTCCTGAGTATTTCACTTTGATTCAAGATTAAGTCACTACAAAATAGATATTTTACCTTCAAGCAAAGCGAAATATTGTTGACAACAGGCAACCTTGATGATAACAGACAAGCTGACTTCATTCGAAAGTATTGACAATGTTTGTTCAACAACAAAGATTTACATGATACCTAATTTGACGGTCCACAGGGACTGGCAGTCACAAGAATTACCGGTCCAAGCCTTATTTTACCAGTCAAAAACTGGTAATTACCGGTAAACGTGAACACTGCTGTTCAAAGCATCATTAAATTCAGTCACTCACTCACTCATACCCCTTGGCAATTCACCAACTTCACAGACCTACTGCCATGAGCTTCAGGAATGAGGTGTTTCAGCAAGCAATTCACCAACATCACAGACCTACTGCTATGAGGTTCAGAAATGAGATGTTTCAGTAAGCAATTCACCAACATCACATACCTACTGCTATGAGGTTCAGGAATGAGGTGTTTCAGTAAGCAATTCACCAACATCACATACCTACTGCTATGAGGTTCAGGAATGGATGTTTCAGTAAGCAATTCACCAACATCACATACCTACTGCTATGAGGTTCAGGAATGGATGTTTCAGTAAGCAATTCACCAACATCACATACCTACTGCTATGAGGTTCAGGAATGGATGTTTCAGTAAGCAATTCACCAACATCACATACCTACTGCTATGAGGTTCAGGAATGGATGTTTCAGTAAGCAATTCACCAACATCACATACCTGCTGCTATGAGGTTCAGGAATGACGTGTTTCAGCAAGCAATTCACCAACATCACAGACCTACTGCTGAGGTTCAGGAATGGATGTTTCAGTAAGCAATTCACCAACATCACAGACCTACTGCTGAGGTTCAGGAATGGATGTTTCAGTAAGCAATTCACCAACATCACAGACCTACTGCTGAGGTTCAGGAATGGATGTTTCAGTAAGCAATTCACCAACATCACAGACCTACTGCTGAGGTTCAGGAATGGATGTTTCAGTAAGCAATTCACCAACATCACAGACCTACTGCTATGAGGTTCAGGAATGGATGTTTCAGTAAGCAATTCACCAACATCACATACCTGCTGCTATGAGGTTCAGGAATGAGGTGTTTCAGTAAGCAATTCACCAACATCACAGACCTACTGCTGAGGTTCAGGAATGGATGTTTCAGTAAGCAATTCACCAACATCACAGACCTACTGCTGAGGTTCAGGAATGGATGTTTCAGTAAGCAATTCACCAACATCACATACCTACTGCTATGAGGTTCAGGAATGGATGTTTCAGTAAGCAATTCACCAACATCACAGACCTACTGCTGAGGTTCAGGAATGGATGTTTCAGCAAGCAATTCACCAACATCACAGACCCACTGCTATGAGGTTCAGGAATGAGGTGTTTCAGTAAGCAATTCACCAACATCACATACCTACTGCTATGAGGTTCAGGAATGGATGTTTCAGTAAGCAATTCACCAACATCACATACCTGCTGCTATGAGGTTCAGGAATGACGTGTTTCAGCAAGCAATTCACCAACATCACAGACCTACTGCTGAGGTTCAGGAATGGATGTTTCAGCAAGCAATTCACCAACATCACAGACCTACTGCTGAGGTTCAGGAATGGATGTTTCAGCAAGCAATTCACCAACATCACAGACCTACTGCTATGAGGTTCAGGAATGGATGTTTCAGCAAGCAATTCACCAACATCACAGACCCACTGCTATGAGGTTCAGGAATGGATGTTTCAGTAAGCAATTCACCAACATCACAGACCCACTGCTATGAGGTTCAGGAATGGATGTTTCAGTAAGCAATTCACCAACATCACATACCTACTGCCATGAGGTTCAGGAATGGATGTTTCAGTAAGCAATTCACCAACATCACAGACCCACTGCTATGAGGTTCAGGAATGGATGTTTCAGTAAGCAATTCACCAACATCACATACCTGCTGCTATGAGGTTCAGGAATGGATGTTTCAGTAAGCAATTCACCAACATCACATACCTGCTGCTATGAGGTTCAGGAATGACGTGTTTCAGCAAGCAATTCATCAACATCACAGACCTACTGCTATGAGGTTCAGGAATGGATGTTTCAGTAAGCAATTCACCAACATCACATACCTGCTGCTATGAGGTTCAGGAATGACGTGTTTCAGCTAGCAATTCACCAACATCACAGACCTACTGCTATGAGGTTCAGGAATGGATGTTTCAGTAAGCAATTCACCAACATCACATACCTACTGCTATGAGGTTCAGGAATGGATGTTTCAGTAAGCAATTCACCAACATCACAGACCTACTGCTGAGGTTCAGGAATGGATGTTTCAGTAAGCAATTCACCAACATCACAGACCTACTGCTGAGGTTCAGGAATGGATGTTTCAGTAAGCAATTCACCAACATCACATACCTGCTGCTATGAGGTTCAGGAATGACGTGTTTCAGCAAGCAATTCACCAACATCACATACCTACTGCTGAGGTTCAGGAATGACTTGTTTCAGCAAGCAATTCACCAACATCACAGACCCACTGCTATGAGGTTCAGGAATGAGGTGTTTCAGTAAGCAATTCACCAACATCACATACCTACTGCTATGAGGTTCAGGAATGGATGTTTCAGTAAGCAATTCACCAACATCACATACCTACTGCTATGAGGTTCAGGAATGGATGTTTCAGAAAGCAATTCACCAACATCACAGACCTACTGCTGAGGTTCAGGAATGGATGTTTCAGTAAGCAATTCACCAACATCACAGACCTACTGCTGAGGTTCAGGAATGGATGTTTCAGTAAGCAATTCACCAACATCACAGACCTACTGCTGAGGTTCAGGAATGGATGTTTCAGTAGGCAATTCACCAACATCACAGACCTACTGCTATGAGGTTCAGGAATGAGGTGTTTCAGTAAGCAATTCACCAACATCACATACCTGCTGCTATGAGGTTCAGGAATGAGGTGTTTCAGTAAGCAATTCACCAACATCACAGACCTACTGCTATGAGGTTCAGGAATGGATGTTTCAGTAAGCAATTCACCAACATCACATACCTGCTGCTATGAGGTTCAGGAATGACGTGTTTCAGCAAGCAATTCACCAACATCACATACCTACTGCTGAGGTTCAGGAATGACGTGTTTCAGCAAGCAATTCACCAACATCACAGACCCACTGCTATGAGGTTCAGGAATGAGGTGTTTCAGTAAGCAATTCACCAACATCACATACCTACTGCTATGAGGTTCAGGAATGGATGTTTCAGTAAGCAATTCACCAACATCACATACCTACTGCTATGAGGTTCAGGAATGGATGTTTCAGAAAGCAATTCACCAACATCACAGACATACTGCTGAGGTTCAGGAATGGATGTTTCAGTAAGCAATTCACCAACATCACAGACCTACTGCTGAGGTTCAGGAATGGATGTTTCAGTAAGCAATTCACCAACATCACAGACCTACTGCTGAGGTTCAGGAATGGATGTTTCAGTAGGCAATTCACCAACATCACATACCTGCTGCTATGAGGTTCAGGAATGACGTGTTTCAGTAAGCAATTCACCAACATCACAGACCCACTGCTATGAGGTTCAGGAATGGATGTTTCAGTAAGCAATTCACCAACATCACAGACCTACTGCTGAGGTTCAGGAATGGATGTTTCAGTAAGCAATTCACCAACATCACAGACCTACTGCTGAGGTTCAGGAATGGATGTTTCAGTAGGCAATTCACCAACATCACATACCTGCTGCTATGAGGTTCAGGAATGACGTGTTTCAGTAAGCAATTCACCAACATCACAGACCCACTGCTATGAGGTTCAGGAATGGATGTTTCAGTAAGCAATTCACCAACATCACAGACCTACTGCTATGAGGTTCAGGAATGAGGTGTTTCAGTAAGCAATTCACCAACATCACATACCTACTGCTATGAGGTTCAGGAATGGATGTTTCAGCAAGCAATTCACCAACATCACATACCTACTGCTATGAGGTTCAGGAATGAGGTGTTTCAGCAAGCAATTCACCAACATCACAGACCCACTGCTATGAGGTTCAGGAATGAGGTGTTTCAGCAAGCAATTCACCAACATCACATACCTACTGCTATGAGGTTCAGGAATGACGTGTTTCAGCAAGCAATTCACCAACATCACAGACCTACTGCTATGAGGTTCAGGAATGAGGTGTTTCAGTAAGCAATTCACCAACATCACAGACCTACTGCTATGAGGTTCAGGAATGAGATGTTTCAGTAAGCAATTCACCAACATCACAGACCCACTGCTATGAGGTTCAGGAATGAGGTGTTTCAGGAAACAATTCGCCAACATCACATAATAAATTATACAAACTGATATTATCGCAATACCTTAACACCTACTCATATTTTACTGTTTTGTTTATAAGTAATTTCATTTGTAAAATTTAGTAAGAACTGCCACCATCAAAACTAATATATGTAACTGAAGCCATGTTGTTGGCTGTGTGTGGCAATAAGTGCTCTTGGTGCACAGC